CCCCCCCAAGAAGAAACAAATTAGATTTTTTTTTTTACATTTAGACAAGGGAAAAAAAAAAAAAAAAAAAAAAAAAAAAAGTTTACTACTGGTGATTTCTGTAGGCCTGGGTCAATTACCTCACAGACATTGCAGGCACTCCCATTGTCGGCTTAATCTGGAATTTCAGCTGGTGGGAAACTTTATTAAAAATAAGGAAAAGCATGTAATCGCACATATTATGCTTTAAAATAGATCTTTAGCAAGTTTTCAAGAAGTCTTACGTGGGAATGAAAAACGACAGGAAAACCACGTTGTACCTTGATGTCCGGAAAGTAGAAGGAAAGCTTGCAGTATCTGCAGTTCAGTTTCCGCTCTGGGCACTCACGTTCATTATGCCATTCCTTCTCGCTGAATCTGATAAGCTGTTTGCATGCTGGGCAGGGCACTAACATGAACGGACACCTTCCTTCATGGGTGACCTGGAAAGAGAAAACCTGTTGCTGAATATCTAGAGCACAGCCTGTCACATGTAAACACCAGAGGTGGAGCTGTGGGTGGAGTGGTATGCAGAGAGAGATAAAAACCCTAATGCCTCTGCACAAGTCTTGTGGTCTGAATGTCAGACTTTTGTAAAAGCCCGTAATCCTATTTTATAGACCCTTCCTGCAGTGTAAGGACTCAGGGCCCTTGCAGATGAATCTGCACGTAGTTGCAAACATTTATGATGAACCCCACTGCATGCATATTCACATTTTAAAACACATTTTAAACCTGCCTCTGAGGGCAATTTATTTTCAGGCGTTATGCAAAGGGGTCTTCAGGGGCAGGGTTACACCAGTGTGGATATGCCCTGGACCTGTATAGAACCCTGCAGCTAACCCATCATGCTGCACTATGTGCCAAGGTGGGCATCTAACGAAGGCACTAGTGCCCGAAAAGCTACATCACAGGCTGGCCCCGCATCTTCTGTAGATGTCCTTGTGTGGTCCATGCAAAGCCCCCAAATAATCCACCATGGGGCACTGAACTAGAAGAAATTGCACATGGCCCTGTGCAGCAAAGCAATTTGATTGAAGACATCATAAAAGGTAAGACTAAACTATACAACATTCTCTCAGGGAGAGAAAAACATCAATCACCTAAGGACATTAGCAAAAAATTGAGGATTTCCTGTTTTAGGAGAGGTTATACAGGGTCCTAAAACTCTGGCCTGTGTCCAGTCACTTGGTGATGCCGCCATATTACCCAGTCGTCTTTGACTCTGCCTGTGTCCTGTACAGTGCAATCAAGAAAATCAAGGATAGAGCTTTCCGATGGTGGGGAGGAGCATTTTTGTGTGTTTAACATTTATTTCCATCTGCCTGATGTGCACGTTAAAGTTACTCTCTCCACCTTGAAAGAGTAACATCTGGTGTGTGGACATGTTTCTGATGTAGAAGATTCTTCATCAGCAGTAGCCCTTCTAAACAGTGAAGGCTGGCAGTGTTGGTGGGAAGACAGGTACATATTGAGTCTACTTTACAGGGAGGCATTTATTCCCAATACTTTTAAGGACAGCCGCTCTGCAGCAATAAGATGGTGAACAGGGCACTTTAATTCACAAGTATACCTTTAACCTAAACTGCAGATCATAAAATGATAAGGATCGTGTCATGCTATGGATCGTTGGCAGATATCTATCCTACACCTTCACCTTTAAAGCCTAAAGAAGTGTGTGAGTGTGTGTGTGTGTGTGTGTGTGTGTGTGTGTGTGTGTGTGTGTGGCGATACCGTGAAAATCTAAGCGCACGAATGGCCGGCACACTTAAAGTTACAGATTTTGTAATTTACTAAGCTCCAAGCTGCAACAACATTGTGCAGCAACATAGAAAAAAAAACAAAAAAAGGAAAAAAACTTAGACATTGCTCAAGGAAAAAGGGATGTTCCAACACAGGGGCAGTGTTCCTAGAAATGCTTACAGTTGTGGGACCTGTCAGGGCTGGCACCTCCTTCATTACTATTTCTAATGAAATAAAAGTAAACCACCACAGAGTTTTAGTCATAACCACTACTGAACCACTTGTCAAGTACATACTTGTACCACCTATCACATATATATCTTTATAATAGACAGTTTGGTGCTGTAGTTGTTGGTTTGTTTTGGTTTTGTGAGGTTACTAGCGGAGACAACTGGACTGAAACATATTAGTAATTTCCTGCTGATGACTAATACTGTGATGATACACCAATTACCCTAGGTATACCCATGATTAACCGCTTCTATGATTGTCAACAGCATATTAATCTATCAACATCAACCTTATAAACACACATTCTAGGACATGCTGATGGGCACTTTGTATGTGAAGTTGTGTTTATATATTAGTACAACAAAAATTACATGGTTAAAAAAATAAAAAAAAGGATAACGTGAACTTAGAACCGTCCCCTTGATCTATCAGCTTCATACCAGTGGTCCTGTCACCTTGATCTATCACCTTGATACCAGTGGTCATGTCACCTTGATACCAGTGGTCCAGAGACCCGTTCATGACCACTGTGCAGAGTAGAATAAATATGCTCTTGCCTCCACACACTGCTTCCTTGCTGTCCGGATGAGCGAGTTGCTGATGGAAACACAGCAAAATGTCACTAGCCACCAATGGCTCACTCATCCAGCCAGAAAGGAAGCTGGTTGCTGGCCAGTTGGGTTAAGGCAGCAATGACAATCAGCAGATTTCTCTCAAGGCAGTTTTCTTTTTAGAAGGTTATAAATTCAGGGACATTTTACCTGATATTTCAGGGTCACAAGAAGCAGGGAGAACAGGACCAACTAAAGCTCAGAGAGCTTCTCTTTAATTAATAAATAAAAATAAAAAAACCAAACAAAACCAAAAGATCAAGGAGAAACTTCAATATTTCTCAAATCAGAAAAGGAAAACCGTCCTAGAAGCACACTTGCTAGCAACTGCTCAAACCTGAAAGTAAATTATATTTCAAGCTGAGCAAGGAGGGGCATGAAACAGAAAAAGAGACGGGTATTTATAATAAATATAGCTAGCAGAATGATTATACTCCCGCCATACTGTCTGCTGTAGTTTAGGGACTTTCCACAATGCTGGCCTGGCGCGGAGCCAGGGACTTCCCAAACCTGCTGCATGACCAGTTTTGTTTTCCTCACTGTAGACAGCAGTGTTTTTATGTCCACAGATTATCCATTTACTAGGGTGACATGGACTATTGTATGTATACAAAAAAAAAGTCCAGTATATATAGCACCATAATGGTATAACTGACACTGTACGTAACAAAGAATTCCAGTCTATGTAATATATGCTGCATAGCTGCCAACAAAACCTTCCGGAACTGCAGCCAAATGAAATTTTGAAACCAAGAAAAAATATTTTTTACTTTATTTTTTTTGTATTTATTCAATAAATATTATTTTTTAACTTCTTTACTGGTCGGGGGCTCTGAGAAATATCAGGGGTCTGTTAAGATAAAGTAGAAAAGGAATCCGCTATACTAAACATACTTTGTCCTCAAAGATTTACAAACAGTGAGCCATCAGTTGATCCTGACTCGCTCTCACAGGAGGCTGAGCCAGCAGTGTGAGCAGGAGAGCTTGGTTTCCTTGACAGCCGACTCCTCCCCACCATGCTGGCTCAGCCTCCTGTGACTCCGCCCCCGCACCGCTCTCCATCCTGATTTGTTACAGGAGGCTGAGCGGGGCAGTGCAGGAGGAGAGCTCAGCCTTTTGCGAGAACAACAATGACAGCGCACTCCTCTCCCGCCCAGTCTCCTGACAGTTTCTCTCCTCCCCACTTCACGCTGTGCAGTGTCAGAGGGGACACAGAGCGGCGCACAGCAGGGAGCAGAGAAACTAGGGGTGCACTGCAATTGCAGCCGAAAGATGGTACTTTGCAAAGTGCCATTTTCAGTCGATCTGTTTCAGTGGCCAAAATTTTGGTGCATCTCTAGTTATACCCCTGTCAGCTTTTATTACGCACCATCTGTGTCCCACTTAGGAGATTTCCCTTCACTTCCTGTCCAATAGCTACAACAGAAAGTCCCTGGTGGTCAGCAGTAATGAATAGATAGGTCACCCGCACTCAGCGATTCAACGTGCAAATAAAAATGTTATTGCAAAATGACATCACATAGGTCAATAAGCCAAAGTTTTAGGGCCACACAGGGTACCGTCCTCAAGGCAACAGTCACAGTTGGGTCACTGTGTTGCCACGAGGAAGGGCCCCTGCGTGGATTGCAATAAAACCAATTTTATTTGCACACTGAGCCATTGAGTGCTGGTGATCTATTTATACACTACGAGCACCTTCTCCATTGTTCATAGCGCTGTATGGTATGAGGCTAGAATCTACATTGATTTGTGGTGGTCAGCAGGCTCACCAGAGCTAGTGTCCCCATTGGAAGATTTCTTCTTTATTTCTGTCCTAGTGACCACTCAAAATTTGGAATGTTCTTTCACTTTTCATTTTCACTGATAATGGTCACCCGGGTAAACAGAGGGGGTGAATCTCACTAATGGGGAGGTATAAAACAAAACAAAAAAACCTGACAGGTGTTCTAAGGGGGGAGGGGGGTCTAATCCCTCTTCACTCTATACAGTTGCACTTTCATGTCTGAAACCTGAGAGAGCGGCCAATATGCAAATTAGCTAATCTGCATAGCCAAATCCCATAATCAATTGTGATCTTTGCCCGTTCTGCTCCAGGATCATTGGGAGGAGCCAGTGGGAGGGCTCCCATGTCTGCTCCCACCATCTCCTGCTGAAACCCCATAGTCTGTTTAAACAGCCCCGATGCTGGCGACGTACACTGTACGTCGTCAGTCACGAAGGGGTTAAAAGGGAGGTGAAGGAGATCCTTTTGACATGCTTCACTGGGGATATCCAACATACCAAGGATTGTGCAGTGCATTGACTATGGATTGAAGTCTTCAAGAAGTACTGAGAGGTACTCTTCTCTTGCCTCCTCATCTGTGCCCTGAGTGGAGTGGGACCCACGGGGAATGTGGTAGTGATGACATTTTAAAAGAGTTTTATCATATGTGGCCTTTTCCTGAGAAAGCGGTCGTGATTGTGAAACGCGTCGAGAAGAAAAAAAAGACAAATGAGCTATTTTCCCAAAACGGAACCTTGTCAAATACATACTGTATGAAGGATCATGCCATCATACATGAAAGACATTGAAGTTATACTGTCCTCACTCTAAAGGAAATATATTAAACACGGATGTTCTGGGAAGTTGGGGCTATGTTACTATACAAAACAGCCTTTTAATAAGTGCTTCTTAAACGAATATCGCACTGGATATTTTAAAGCATGTAATAAATGTTTGCATTTTTAATACATCAGTGCAGCTGATTCTAGAGCAGGGGTCTTAAAGTACCGGCCCACGGCCCAACTCCGGCCCGCGAGCCGGTACTATGTGGCCTGCAGCCAGCTGACAAGTCGGGCACATGGTCACGGACCATGT